CCTGTATATAAAGAATGATTTCAACATGATCAAATATATATTATTGTTAAAAAAAATCACAACTTTATAATGAAATTGTGTGTTTTTGTTACTATCACATAGAAATCCTTACTAATAAAAATATATATGTTCCACTTAGTGGGTCCCCTTAATGGCCACAAGGTCCTAAGCAGCCACTTAGTTTGCTTATGCCTTGGGCTAGCCCTGCTTTTGTGTCCATGTGAATGACTGGATTTCACATGGACACACACAGAAACACATCTACCAGTTATGTACCAACAGAATACGCTCCACCACCCATTTGTTGCGACTGAGATGGAGTTCAATTCATTTTCTGGTTCATCCATAAAGTCACACTTATGTTAAGCATCAACTACAGGATAGCAGCCCGCTGTATTCAGTCTATCTGCTCACCTGTATCAATACACCTGCCACACTCTTCCCTGCCATTCGCTCTGAACCAGCAGCTCCAGGAGGAGAAAGACTGTCGTACTCCAGGCATCGTGCCAGTCAATTTAAGGATGCTTATTGGTCCCCCCGAAAAGCGATATAAACCCAGACATTATCATAACTCAATGAAATACCACTGCATTTCCTGGACTGAACTTGAAAATTGGACGTTATGCTTCTAACACTTAGCATTCGTCAACAACTCATAGGTGGAAGTGAGAATGTTGTGCAACACAAATAATCACCAGCTTTAACACAATGCTCTAAATATTAAAACAGATTTTAAGGCAATAATCCTGGAGGCAGATAATTTGCTTTGAGGGATTTTAGTAATCAAAGTACAGCCTTAATGGAAAATGGAACAAAAGCTGAAAACTTCTAAAAACATATTTATAACTAAATAATCCAGACCAAAGCTTATTTCTGCACATCTTCCCAGTCATAGCTATTGACAGTCAGAGCTGTGGGGTGTAATGTAAATGAATAAACTTTGGTAAACTGTGGTAATGCCCCCCAGGTAGCGGAACAGGTTTTCTGGAGAATTCTTTTGAAATTCTGAGGCTTGTTTTCTCCCCAGTCTTGTTTGTAGAGTGTTCAAATGGTCATTTCTTCATAAATGTCTACGTGTTTGACATAATCAGAAAGCTATTCTTTGTTTTTCTTATCTGTTCAGAGGAAGTTTGATGCCCTGTGGTCTCTATGGATAAATCGTGGTCTGGGCTATAGATTTAAAGCTAACAATCTTTTTAACTGTTGGATTCTCAATGGTGTGTGTGTGTAGTCCTACCAATTAAGTGATTTAAGTGAATGAGAAGTTGTTTCCAACTGACTGTGTGCATGTTCTTCAGCATGTCTGTGATTTGTCCATGTGTGGGTGTGCGTGTGTCTGTGTGAATTAAACCAGTTTCCCACTATACACTCAGTTTGTGTTACCCCACCCCACACAGACCCTTAGATAATTCAACCAGCTGATGAGGTTACCCAAACGCTAACAGAGGCCCAGCATGCTGCTAATGATGAGAGGTGGAGTTACAAGGCGGAGGGCTCTGGCGGGGTTAGAGATGGGTGGTTCTGTTTAGTCAGACACAGAACTTTGTGTGGGGGACGGGGGATACCTGCCCCACATTAGGCGAGAGAGGCTCTGACCTTAGCAGCTATAATATCAGTACAAGCTCTGACCCAAGATCAGGCCCAGTTGGCACTTCAGAAGGGTGAGGGAGTTAGTTAGAGAGCGGGGGGGTCTTTTATTGTATGGTTAGTGTCCTCTAGCTTTCCTCTGCCAGTGCCATGGCCTAGTGAGGGGTGAGTAATGTGAGTAATGGAGAGTAATAGGGTGCAGATAGTGAGTGTGAGGGTAACCCTATTGTATCCTGTGTCAGCTGGGTCAGAGGTCACCCATGGCACATACTGGTCTTGGCCCTGTCCGACCCATTTGGGTCTGAAATGAGTTTACCCAACACTAATTAACGGGGCCTGCCAATGGGCTCCTCTTGCTAACTGGCTTGACAGATGCTTCTGGGTCTTGCTTGGATGGCCTTGCCCCCCACCACCGCAGCCCTCTGCTGTCCGACCACCCCTCTGACCCCTTCTCCCAACACTCATATGTTCAGCACAATCCTCACCATTTGCATGTCATGATGATCCCACCTGCATTTGTGGTGATGCCTCAGCTTGGTGGTATTGGTATGGCTGGACTCCAGGCCTTTTGACAGGGCTTCCTGAACAATGTACACTTACACTACTTTTGAAATGTTTCCACCTTTTGTCTTGTTACAACCACAATCTTCTTGAGACTGTCTTGGGAAGGCAGAGTATCTTCAGTCAGAGGCTTCTTCAGATTTACTGTAATACAGATCACGACAAGAGATCTTTCCTGCCAATATCCATTAGTATTCTCAGTATAAGTATTAGTTATAAATATTAGTATAAGTATTCTCAGCCTTTCCCAAAAAGCAAAACTGAGCTTTTGCCACTGTTTATCTTTAAGATGTTTCTACAGCGATGACTTTGACCTTTCTTGTTCACAGCGTTTGTGTTGAAGTACCAGTCCAGTTTATTATTGAAGTGAACATCCAGGTACTTCAACAGATAACAAAATATGAGTGAATCAACAGTGAGATATAGCTAACCAGAAACATTGAATCCACGTTGAAGCCTGACATTGGAATTATATTGAAAGTGGTCTGTGACTTACATGTTGAATGTTAGGGTTTCACCCTTAGCTGATCAATGTTGATTCAACCATCATCTACATTTGGATCTGCACGCACAGTTTACTTTATATTGAATCAGTTAGGAATCAATGTTGATTCAACTATTGAATCAACATATTCATGCAAATGTTTTGGTTCTGATAGGTCTACATGATAACATAGCATTAAAAGTTTCTTCGCTGGTATTAAACACAATTTTGTTGGCAGACGATGGGTATTATCGTCTGCCATTATATTATCATAATGAATTACCATAATGGTAACAGTGAATTACCATTGCTTGCAATCTGGGTCCACTCTTCCACAATCTGTCCAAGCCCTGGATGTTCACTAGTGTTATGTGTATGCAGCCTGGCCATTGATTTCCTATGCAATTCTGATTGATTCAAATCTCGCTTCGCAGCACAGTCTGCAAACCACAGCATGGTCTGTGAAGCTGAGAGCCCTAGCACTCTGTACGAAGCAAAGCATAGAAAAAGGGACTGGGCTTTACCAGGCTAGTCTGTACGCACATCATGTGAAAGTCAGTCACCGTTTCCTTTGTCTTGGTGGTTTTAATGTGAAGGTTGTTGGCCTCTGACATGGTAACAAAGTTGCTGATGATCTCCTTCAGGTCCTTCCCATTAAATACATAGCCTACAATAGCTGTATTGTCCGAATGTAGTGTAAAGCATTTCAGAGTCCTCTGAACTAGATAAAGTGCTACATAAGAACAGGCAATTCACCATTTACCAATCTTCATAACCCGCCTCAAGAGTTAAAGTCCCTTCTTCACAGGTGAAATAATCATTTGTTATATTACCAACAGTCTTGACTGCTAGCAACTAAAGACCAGTTCCATCAGTGCCTAAGTAACAATGGACTGACCCCTAATGGTGTATCTTGCAAATAGTGGGTCCATACTGTACAGTCAGTGTTTCACAGCTAATCTGCTTATTGATTATTGTTAATTTCTACTGTCTACTGGTTGTCTACTGAGAAGGAATGTCTTCATGTCTCCAGGGCTTTATGTCAGAATTCATTTGAGTCAGTGCCTACCTATTGTTGACTTCTCTACATCAGTGTCTGTACATTCATCCAAAGTATTTTAATGCAGGTGGCAGCATTTGTCTGTAACCACCTTACTGAGCATAAAAGTGGGACCTCCCTCCTGTCTGTCATCCCTATAGGAGGGCACTAAGTCCTGAGATTCAGTCTCAGCCCAACAGAAGCCCCCCTACCACCAGCACCCCTGGGCTCCACCCCACCCTCTACATAGCTTCTAACACCCAAACACACCCCGTCAACCCTCCCTAACAGCTCTCCTCCCCTCTCCTTTCACTGCTCTCCGACTGCTCCACATGCAGACCATTCATCGTGCATACCTAGGCTGCTAATTCCAAACTGCCTCTCCAATCAAAGGATCACAAGTGTTGTAGTTTTTGTCTCTTTTCTTTTGCTGAGAAACAATGTGTAATGAAAAGAGGCAGCGACAAGTCTGGTTTGTGTGTGTGTGTGTGTGTGTGTGTGTGTGTGTGTGTGTGTGTGTGTGTGTAAGAGAGAGGGAAAGGTTCTCCCCATCTTTTTTTCTCTGTTTTTGTTAATTTATCTTTTACTGTCAAATCAGTCAGTTTTTAAGAACATTTCTTTTCTCGTATTGATCCAGGCTAAAGCCATAATCTGTTGTATTCTAAACTGACAACAAAATATATCAATAATTTCTATAATGCAAGAACAGAAGCTGATGTGGCCCAAAATGGCTGCTTTTCTGTTATATCCACTGTTAGCTGTTAGTATTTCACCAAGCAAAGCTGGTTTTTGTAACTAGTATATAATAGGGTAATTTAGCTGATGTCATGTCAAACTATTTTATTATGTTTGTATTTGGTAGATGACCTTTTGGTTTGCGAGTCTGCTCTCTCACAGTCTGGATAAGATAAGATGAGATAAAAGACTTTATTGGTCCCTGAAGGGGTTGTGGGGTTGTTTGCCTTAGCATGGCATACAAAAATAAGTAAATAAAAAAAAATAATAATAAACATATAACAACAATTAACAATTAGCAGCAATAATCCTAAGGACACACATGTATTGCTCTGTATATTGCTAAATATATATTCATCTTAAACACATATCTTAAACTAAGCTTGTCTGTGTTTTGAGGCAAATTTGTTTTGAGATTGGACCCAGCAGTAACTTTTGTTGCTTTTTTTTATTTTACTCTAGTTGTTTTTCTAAATGTCTCTCCTTCTCTGTGTTTTATGTCCAGTTCCTTTGTAACAGGCACTGCATGCTGTGAGAATTTCTATCCTCTTCGTATCTGGGACGTGGAACGGTGAGTGAGGAACCTGTTCTAGCACTTTTTTTTTTCTTTTTTTTTTTTTACAGGGCACTCAAATTCAATTTGCTCTATTTTGAACAGTTGAAGTGTCAGGAAGAAATGAACAAATAGTTTTTTTCACAACTTCATTTAACCAAAAAGCACTTAGTATTAAAAGTCTGCTCTCATAAAAATGTATTGGGCATGAATAAAATGACTTCAAGCTACTGGATTGTAGCCACTGCTGCTCTGGGGCAGCCTGATGGCTATGCACGGCTGCCATATTGCACCTTCGGCTCTACTGGGTCCGTTCTGAGCAGGAAGGTAAATGGAATGGGGAAGTGGTTAGTTTTACTTATTTTCTTAGAGCTGAAGGGTGAGGGAGTTGGCGAATGAGCTCAACGAGAAAAGGGTTGAATCTCATCTCCAGAACCAGCTCCTCTATATAGTGCACCCCAAATGGGGAACAGCTGGATGTAATCACCTGGCAGGAGGAGAGAGAGGTAGGATACAGACACCCATCACCAACCCTCACATCCTGCCATTTTCTTTTTAGAAAGAAGATGCTTCCTCCTTCTAAACAAATCATACTGTCACAATTTTGAACTTTTAAAACACACGCCTCAGAGATGACCTGGGACATCACTGCACAGTCTGACCTTTGAGTGAATTTATTGAGACAGTCACCCTCAGGAGGACTGTCTAGAAAGTCTTACACCTGTGAATAGTCTTTCTTTCTGTTCCACTGGACTTTTGATAGTTTGAAAACAGCTTTGCAATCCTCACTAGATTGTTGAGCAGCAACAAATGCTGCTGTAAGATCATTGCTAATGTTTTTCCTTATTTGCACTGCGTGAACACACACTGATGCAGTGTATCAGTAAGCTGCCATAGCTCCTGCATTCTTTTGAGGTGGCCACACTGATTATGACCAGCTTTCAAAAGCATTGAATTAGCAGCACCTGGCTGGTTACTATGCTGAAATATGCTTATATTCTTTGAAATTACCAGTTTGAAGTGGTGCACCAGTTACAGTAAATATGTAGAGAACAGCAGACAGACCAATGTTAGAGTATTCTGACGCCCCCAGGTTGGGTCTGATGGCTTATTAATGAGTGTAACAATCTATGTCATATTTATGTATGGGCGTTTTGTTTGTGAACATTACCATTGTGGCCCTTTATGGATCAACAAAGCTGCAGTTTTAAAAACACCACAGCGCACTTTAATCTCCAACAAAAAGCTCTCCAGAGTGAGAGGCCTCTAAAAAAAATCCCGGCTTGGAAAGGTAAACCTTAAACCTCATAAATCCCTGACAAGGCTTCGGTAATTCCCAGCTTTACATGGGCCAGTGACAACAGGCCGACACAACATCACACACAGCCACATACAAAAAGCTGCTTCCTGTTCCCAAAAGGCTTGGAAACTCGAGGAGGGTATAAAACGGCAGCCACACAGGAAGAACAACGAAAGGGATGAGTAGGCACGTTCATCAGGTGGGAATGGGAAGTTGATGTGGTTACAAAGTGATCTGCATAATGAAATGGGTCATTTATGGTGTAGGAGTGCAGAACATGCAGGGGAATTTTCCAATTAGCTGTAAACGCCATCTGGGAATAATGAAATATCCTGACAGCTTTCTGTTCAGGGGTCATAGCTTTTGAAGAGTTTAGTAAATCTGATGAGATCCTGAATAAACTTCATACGGAAATCACTTACCAAAAGCTATTTTGTAAATAAACATTTATTTTAAGTATCTTAAGAACCCACTGTGACGAATATAACTAAGTATTTAAATACTCTGAACAGTAATAAATTTTCTTCAATCACAACGTTGACACATAAAGACCCAAAATGGCCATCAGCCATCTCTAATGTCTCTCCATCTGGTTGTAAAGCAGCACATCCACTAGACATAAACACAGTTGTTTATCCAGTTGGCTCCGATTCTGTGTCCTGTAAATTAACGTGTTGGGTGTTTGCTCTGCCTGACACCAGCTAGACAGATTTTAATGTCACCACTTCCTGTCTATGATAACTTTGCCCTCTATATGGTAGTTATTATACATGATTTTAACTTAATATTGTTTCTGTTACTGATTCTAGTTTCATTATTATTCTGTGTTCTTTGGTCTCTCTTTTTGATTGGATCAACCTTGTTTTACCTTAGTTCAATTCTTTCTCAGTGATTCTAGTGCCTTATTTTTATTTTTTTGTGTGTCTAGTTATTTTTTGTTACTCTAGTTGAATTATATCTCTTATGTTTTGTTATTCTTTAATGTTAGCTTCTTTCCCTAGCCCACTGTGGGTGGGTCTCTCTCTCTCTCTCTGACTCTCTCGCTCTCTCTCTGTCTGTCTGTCTGTCTCTCTCTCTCTCTCTCTCTTTCTCTCTCTCCTAAACCTGCCTTCTGCTCTCTCCCTTCACACCTGCAACCCGTTAGCTAGTCAGCTCAGGTCCTTTGTTCCAACATTCACTCTCCCAGTACTTATATACCTGATTTCCTCTCACTCCTTGCTGGTTCCTCCCGTTAAATCCTATTACTTCTCCATTGTTACCCTGCTAGCTATTGTTTCTGATTCCTGTGGTGTTTTCTTTGCTCTACTTTTGGAGCAAAAAAACAAAACAAAACAACAAAAAAAAACACGTGTTCTTCTTGGTTTTTGTTCTACGTTTTTGTTTTTAATTCTTTTGCCATTGAGTCTACAAAATCTACTCGACATCTCTGCGTGCTGCATTTGGGTCCACCATCTATCCACACATCATAACAAATCCAGCATTTCAGAAGCAGAACATCTGGCCATACAGTCAAACATGGTGGTGGAGTAGAGTGATGGTCTGGAGCTGTTTAAAGGCCACTTGCTATTAGTAAAAGCAATACTTTCTGCTCCAGCAGAACATTTTGAAATAGAACCTCTGACCATCAGTTTGTAAGCTGTAGCCTGTATTAAAAAAAAAAAAAAAAAAAATATATATTTATATATATATATATATATATATATATTTTTTTTTTTTTTTTTTTTGA